AGCTCATATCCAACTCAATTTTGACTTCCCGGTTTAAGTCACTCTCGTCTCTCACTTGATCTCTTGTTATTTTCATAACACTAAAAGGAAAACACTAGTATTAGTCTTCTCTCAACCTCCAATTCGTCAAATTAAAGATTACCAATGACAAGAATTTGAGATGTCACCCCTCCTCCATTCTTCTTATCCTAGCTCTAGGCAAACTCAAGACTCTTTGCTTAGTCTCTTTGCCCTAAATTAAACAATTAAATCTAAATTATATATTTAATTAATAATTATCAAGGTAATTAATTTCGTATTTGATAATACCGATTGGGATACCGAAGTACCGATTGGGATACCAAAATATTTAAGGATTGGGATTGAGATACCAAAATTAATTATGGATTGTGATTGATTTTAGGGTGTAATTCAGTATTAGAGATTTCGATATTTGGTATTGGGATACTGATACCGTACCGATTTCCACAACTATTTGTATTGACTACAGACAACTCAATTCTATCACTATTAGGAACAAGTTCTCTATTCTTGTCATTGATGATCTGTAATATGAGTTAGGTGGGGCAAAGTATTTCACCAAGTTGGATTTTCTTTCTGGATACCTTCAAGTGCGAATGGACCTTGCATATCAATACAAAACCGCTTTTAGAACTCACCATAGTTATTTTGAATTCAAGGTCATGCCCTTTGGCTTGACCAATGCCTCTGCCACCTTTCAGACACTCATGAACAAAAATTTTTGCCCTTACCTTCGCAAATTCATTCTTGTGTTCTTTGACGACATTTTGGTCTCAAAAACCATATCTTGTTTGCCAAGCCATCCAAATGTTCATTTGCACAAAGAGAAGTGGAATGCTTAGGCCATGTTACTAATGAGCAGGGTGTGGCTACTGATCCCAACAAGGTTGATGTCATGGTTAAGTGGCCCGTTCCATGAAATGTTAAGGAGCTGAGAGGGTTCCTAGGCTTAATAGGGTACTACATGAAATATGTGTAGAATTATGGAGCCATTAGCAGACCCCTACAGAGTTACTTAAGAAAGATGGGTTCAATTGGTCTTCCACTGCTGACAAAGCTTTTGTATTACTCAAGAATTCCATGGTGCATGCTCCTGTCCTGGCTCTTACTGATTTTTCCTTACCCTTCTAGTTGGAGACAAAGGCTAGTGATGTTGGCATTGGCGTAGTTCTTTCACAAGGTGGCAGACCTATTGCTTACCACATTCAAGCACTCGGGATAAGACAACAAGGGTTGTCTGCTTATGATAAGGAATATTTAGTTGTCTTGTTGGCTGTTACAAAGTTGCACAATTACTTAGGAGGAAGGCCTTCACCATCATTACTGACCAGGAGAGCTTGAAGCATCTCCTTGGTCAGAAGTTCACACCCACATTCATAAGAAACGGTTAGTAAAGTTGTTGTGGTTAGATTTTGAGAAGGTTCAATAGAGTGGCTGATGCTCTTTCCAGGCAGCCTGAGTTTCAAGGGTCGGGGGATAGTACTGCTAACTTTCAGGCCATTTTCTGTTGTGCTACCTACTTGGCTAAGTGAACTGGAGCTGGCTTATGTTGGAGATCTTGAGGTTTAGACACTTATGGTGGACACAACTCTTCCTTCTGTTGGACCAAGACTCAATTCTGTGAAGCAAGGGTTATTGTACCACAAAGAGGCTCTTTATGTAGGATGTGTGGGTGATATGAGAGTAAAATTGCAGCATCTTTTTCATGACTCACCAGTTAGAGGGAATTCTGAAGTGCACGCTACTTATTTAAAGATAAAGAGATAGTTCTGGTGGCCTAGTCTCAAGTTACAGGTGAAAGAATTTGTGAAAGTGTGTGATCTGTGTCAGAGATGTAAATTAGAGAATGTCCCATATCCTGGCTTGCCACAACCATTACCAATTCCAGAAACCGCATGACAACATGTGTCCATAGATTTCATCAATGGTTTACCTAAATCAACAGAAAAAGAAGTGGTATTTGTTGTAGACTTGTAGTAAACAGGTTCTCAACATATGACCATTTCTTCAGCTTGACAAGACCCTATACAACAATAGGAGTGGCACAAGTGTTCTTTGAAGGAGTCTTCAGGCTGTATGGGATGCCCTAGACCATAGTATCAGATAGAGATGTTGTATTTACTAACTCTTTCTGTACCAAATTGTTTGAATTCCAAGGAGTAGACCTTCACTACTCTACAACCTATCACTCCCTTCTAGAAACCGTTATAACCGTTGGGATCGCCGTTATGATTTCTGGTTCATCGAGAAATGTTGCTGGTCAGACAGGGTGCAACCCTGCTTTCCTATATCCGGGCAGTTAGTTCTGGGAGGATTCCAGAGAAACCAACTGTTTGATCGTCCTCAAACTTTGACGATAGATTTAAGACTCGTTGTAGGTTCATTTGACCGTAGAGATCGATGTTCTAATTGCTGGTTTGTTGAGATAGAGGGTGTGAAATTGGTGGGAATTCCTTCAACTAGAAACGTACAAAAAACGGATCAGAAATGCATTTTGATCGCTTTTTTAACGTTCTCACACACAATACGTTTTATATAGAAACTGAAGCGTTTTACCTAGTCAGAAACGTAACATCGTGTGTTTTGTGTTTTAAGACGCGTTTTACTACATTGATTGCAACAACTAGTGATTTGAAATTCCTCCTAACAAAAGAATGGACTTGTTTGTAAAATTTTAAAAGTTTAGGTACTACTATATTGTGAGCCAAAACATATAAATGTACCAAAATGTAATTTTACCACCAATATTTTTGGACCTTTTTGTAAAATTTGAAATGTTTAGATACTATATTGTAAGGAAAATAAATTTGGGTACCAAGATGCAATTTACTAAAATTTGTAATAAGTCACCAAAATTTTTAAAATTAAAATAAAAAATAAAAAATATAAAATATCAACAAATTATAAATGAGTATCCAAATAATAAATTTAAATTAAATATATTTTAAGGGAGTTGCTAAAAGTCGCCCTTAAAATTGTTAAAGGTCGCCCTAAAAAATATCAAAGTTACACTTTAACCTTTTAACTTCTTTACCTTTCCTTTAGCAAACAACCACCACTTAGATTGACTATGAGAGGGAATGAGAGAAAGAATTCACTTATTATTAAATTTATATTATTATAAAATATAATACTTAATTTGCATATAATTAATTAATTAATTAATTAAATTACAAAATTTATTATATATCTCAATAATTAATTAATTAACAGCAGGAATTAAAATTGAAAAAAAAAACCAACCGCAGACCGATCCGTCGGACAACCACGGTCGACGCGCTGTTGGTCCATCGGTCGACCGCGGTCAACACGCGGTTGGACCATCTGTCAAATGCTTGTTGATCGCTTTCGGGCGATGGATCAACCGCGTGATGACTGCGGTCGACCGATGGACCAATGACACGTCGACCGCGGTTATCCGGTGGATCAGCCACGCTTTGGCTGCGGTCGAGGTTCTCCGGCGATGACTGGCGCGCGGGTGGGAGAGCGGATGGCTGGTGACGAAGACGAACGATGGGAAAGGAGAGCGGATGGCCGGCGATGAGCGTGGACGAGAACGGACGCCGATGGTCGTTTGGTGGTTGGCCGACTGGGGCGCGCCGAGAACAGGTGGTTGGCGGCGCCCTTTTGCTTATGCTGGTCGTCTTCTCCGGGGACGGGGGAGGCCGACAACGGGAGGAGGGTGCCGATGGAGGTGAGAAGACGATAGGATGGAGTTGGGTCGGCGGCCATTAGTTGTGGGAAGAGGTAGAGTCAGTTGGGATTAGTTAGGGGTTGTTTGTTTGTTTGAATTTTGAAATTTAAGTTAGGGGTATATAGGTAATTGAATATTTAATTTAGGGGGACGAATAGCAATTTTAAGGGCGACGTTTAGCGATTCAGTATTTTAAATACATGTATTTCAAATACATTACATTTGAAATACACTTATCCAAAGTTCAAACCATCCTAAATTGATTATTCATAATAAACATCCACCTTTACAAAAAGTCAAAACCATACGGAATAAACCAAAAACAAACAAACACCAAAGGTAAAATAGTTTAACGGTAAGCTGCCGTGACAGTGAAGACTTGGGAAGTGCAAATTCCATATTCGAATCTAAACGAGACCCGTTGATGTTCCCGAAAGTATAATGTTGTTGGGGGCAAACAAACAATAGTTTGATAAAAAAAGAGTTGAAATCGAGCTGTTGTTGATCAATAAAAACCCAATTAAGTTTCCAAAAACAAAACGATCATAAGAACCGAACTGGATCAATGGCTGGCTCAGTAGAAACGTCAAACCAGTTACAATAGCGGTTTCAGTTCATTGTTTGAACAGTTATTGATGGACCAAATGGTTTTTCACGGTTTAACATAAAATCAGATTAACCGACACGGTTTAAACCGTTCACTGTTTTAACAAAAAGAAAATGCTTTAACATAAACTCAGACCATCAAATCATAATTATTAATTTTATATATGCTTCCTCAACCTTATTGTCGACTTACGTTGTTTACTACCGACTAGAACCGTAATTTTTAATTTGAATTAAAAAATGCGATTTCTTTTGTGAGATGGTTGGAATGATTTATTAGATATTTTGGTGATGATATGAATTTTTATGGTAAATGATAATTTCATTCTTAAGTTAGTGTAATATACAAGTCTTATATGTTAAATATCATGAATGGTTCTATCAACGGTTCACCAACGATTTTGTAACGGTTAACCGGTGAACCCTAAACCACTAACTTTTTTTGTTCATCCTTATGGTCAATGATAATTTCATTTTTAAATTAGTGTAATATACAAGTCTTATATATTAAATATCATGAATGGTTCTATCAAGGATTCACCAACGATTTTGTAACGGTTAACCGGTGAATCTAAATCACTAATTTTTCCGTATCAGCCCTGTCCGGTTCTGAAACAGATATCCTTATTCGGTTTGTATAACTTTGCGTTTATTTAAGAGGTAGTGGGATAAGAAATCGGGTGCTTCTCCAGTCTCCTCATTCTCAATGGGTTGTGATCATGAGCCCTTGGGCTTCAGGACGAAAAGGCGCTGTCGAACCCGATCCAAAGGAAACCCGATGAGCAAACTCGATGATGACGATCTCCTCCTAGAAATCTTGATTCGCCTTCCGGACCCTGGAACTGCATTGCGCTGCAAACCCGTCTGCAAGCGGTGGAGTTCCCTCATCTCCAGTCCCTACTTCAACCGCCGCTTCATCTCTCACCACCAGAGCAAGAACGCAGAAGGACCTCCTGGTGAGCCATCATCGCTCTTGAGCTTTATCCCTCTGCCTAATGAAGAAATTAGAAGGCGTTCAATTATTTTTGACTGCTTCAAGGACTTGTTGCTATGCGGGTTTACGGAGCGTGGGGACTATAATGGAGAACTTGCCAGATTGTACTTGGTGTGCAATTGGTTTACGAAGCAGTGGATCGCTCTTCCTTTGGCCCCCGAAAGGACAGAAAGCCCTTTGGGATTTGTTGCAAGGTTAGTTTGTGAACCGTGTAGAAATTCTAATCATACTCTTGAACTAGGAGATGGCCAAGTATTTGTTTATTCTGCCGAGTATCGGTTCCGCGTGGTGTATGCATATCAAGAGATGAGGGCTGCAGTTACAAAACTTGATGTATTTTGTTCTGAGTCTGGGAAATGGACGAAGGAGGCTCTTGTTCTCGATGGCTATGGGAAAAATTTGCGGCAAAATATGATTTCGCTCAATGGTAAGTTGTGGTGGTCCTACTTAAAACAAGGCGAAACTGGTATCGTTGCGGTTAATCCCTTCTGCCCTCATATAACTCCCATCATTAATAATGCTTCTGGAGTTCTAGTGGCGTCTAGTAAGTGTAATATTGCGGTTTCACAAGGCGCTTTGTACATATTAGTACTCGAAGAGAATGAAATTTCCCCAGATGGTGGTGCTTCGAGGAATGCATTGAATGTTTGGAGTCTGGAAAAAGACGGTAAGTCTTGGGGAATACAGTATAAAGTGTTTTTAAACTCGTCGAGGTTTAAGGATTTGCAAGTGTCTGAGTGTTACATATGCGATCTGCATCCAGAAAAGCCAGAAATTGTGTTTTTGGAGCTCTTTAATCTGGTCCATCATCTAGGCATCTTCACCTTTAATTTGACAAGTGGTGAGCTAGAGTTCGCTTTTGACAGGCTATATATTCCTCACTTCATGGTGCTCCATATCCAGCCGAAGGTCTCATACTGGCCTACTCCAATTCCAAGGTACGAGGAATTGCAAGGCATATATGATGGAAGCTACAACTGTTTGGTTCAGAGCAGGGAAGCAACAATTGTCGGTAATTACTTCTGCTTCTCAGATTTTACCACTTTGGTCCGCAACTCTTCTCTGCCATTGTACCTCTTCTAGGTCGAGGAATGCATTGATGAAAATGAGACTGCCTGAAAGGAACTCTTCCCTTCTACATTATTAGGATAAGGCTGACGCTTTTTAATAACTTCCTCTCATGTTACATAATCTCTCATTTCGTCTCCAATTGCTGAGTTTTATTGTCCACGCAAACTCTCCAGACTCTCTTAGTTAAACTTACCATCTAATTGCTCATGCAACATATCAAGTATATTGACCTTACGTGTCTCCTTTTGTTTCCGGGTGTTTGACCATTTTGATTTGTCTCTACACTCTTCTTTAAAGCTAAACTTGATTTGATGAAGTTAACCTTGTCAAGAGGCAGTGTGATGTTGTATTCTCAGTTTCTTTGTGGTCTTGTTTCGAATCTCTGCCTCTCATCTCATTTTGTTGCTGCTGGTTTGATTACTGAACCAGCACAAGAATGCGAACCAGTTGACAAAGTTAAGCAACCTGGTCATCGGAGAAGGGGCAACAGATCAACATCACACCATCGGCGTCCTGTGAAGATGCAGAAAGAAGTGAAAGGTGCATGTTCTAAACGCAGAGTCGCCACTAGGAGGAAAATGAATTAAAGGAAAGTTGTGATCATCCCTAAGGTCCACATTGTTGCGACTTATCTAGCATTTGCCAACAAGCGTCCACATATCTTCACAGAGCTACATAGGTACGATCCTGAGGCGTTCTCTATGATGGGCGAAGATGACAACATGGTTGGAGCAGTCCCATACATATTTTTTGCTAGGTTGGGTGCCTCGGGGAGCCATTGGAGCCATCAGCAGATAAAGACCATAGGGAGCCATATGTGGAAGAACTTTGAGCTGGAGATGGTTGCAGATAAAGGCCACATGGAGCCATCTGCGGAAGAACTTTGAGCAAGAGCTGGTTTCTCCTTTTCGGGAATTTGTAATTGATTAGGCGAGATGGGAGCAAGGCCCTTGTTGATGGGTTATTCAAGCAGTTTTCTGTATTGCCCTGTTTCTTAGATTTGACCTTTCAAAATTAAGGTTAGTTGAGTGGGATGTTTTAATCTTACATGATATCAACCCGCACCATCTGAGTTAACTTTATACGAGGATTCTTTCTTAATTCAAATTCCAGTAATATTTAGTTATGTTTGTATATATTTTGTTGTATGAATGATATAGGTTTAATTTTTTGTGATTAGGTAACTATTTAAGATATTCGAATATGGAATCTTCAGGTTCAAAACTAGTAGTACTAGCTTTTTACCCGGCCCGTTGGTCGGTGTGTTTAATTTTATCATTTACATTAATCAATTTATCTATATGTTTAAACTATTTTGGATCTTCTAAATTTTTTACATTTGTATTCATTTGTGAGTATGCGGTGCGTCTATAAATTAAAAATTCTCAATACTTAGCACATTCACTTATGATGCTTCGACTCACTGATCATAAATCATGTCACAAAGATATATCACGTCCCATATAGAATCTTATGTCAAGATTTGTCAATAACGATACTCAATTTTTTTTTTTGTCTTATACAATATATGTCATTCAATGAATCTCGAGTTTAGACGAACTCTCAACCAATGATGTTGCTCTGACAACTTAGTTAGAATTTTTTTAATAAAGGTACTTCAATATTACATAAATTTGGTCATCCCAATTGAAAGTTTGTTGTCTTAGTGTAAGATCATATTTGTCTATCAAGACACTAAATTTAATATCTTATACAATATGTACCAATTGTTAATTCCTGAATTTTAATATAGACTCACCTTCAACTCATGGTCGTTGTTTAGATGTTGGTTTAGAATCTCGGTCCACGATACTCACACACTGCCGAGGGTTCTAATCTTAACATGGTCCATTGTTGTATAATTTTCTAACTTATAAAATATGCATTTGCTAAAATTTATTTATCTTTGGTGTTTGTTTTGAGATAAAAATTCCATTACTTATACTAATATCTTCATTTTGTTGGTAAAATGCCACATCTATGGTCAATATCTAAGCATGATATTATACTCTAAGTAAGAAAATGCTATCTGGACCACGAGTTAACCGGATTTGTGGCGAAGGTGATGGACAAGAAGGAGCTGGTGAGCAGGAACAAGGAAGGGAGGGCGAGGACGGAGAAGGAGATTCTGAAAATGCTGGACCATCCGTTCCTCCCGGCGCTCCACGCCGACATCGAGTCGCCGAGGTGGATGTGCCTGTTGACGGAGTTCTGCCCCGGCAGAGACCTCCACGTGCTCCGCCAGTGCCAGCCGGTCAAACGGTTCGACGAAGCCGCCATCAGGTTGTCAAACTGGGGGTTAATGGCTGAGAAGGGGAACGATGGGGATTCATCAAGCGGCGACCATCTGAGAAGCTCCTACGCCGAATGAAAATGCATGCCTCCTGCGACTCTATTGGTCTGGCGCTGCAATTAATTTTTCCTCCGGCGAAAAGTAAAGTACCAATTAATGGCTCATTGGTCCGTTTCGACTATTTGGTTTTAATAAATTAGTTATTATGTTATTTGATGTTATTTGGTCTTTAATGATCTGTTTTAAGTGATTAATGAGTCACTAAAGTGATCTTTTTATGAGGCTTTACAACTGATAATCGGCTTTAATATATCGGATTCTTGAGCTTTATGTGACTATCTCATGGTATGTTTAAGCCGATTGGTGCTATTTTAGAGAGAATTAACCCGGGAATGGTTGAAAAGCCATTACCATCATGTGCAATTGTTTTGATGTTTTAGGTGAAATAAAAAGAGAGAAAATGAAAGCACATGTGTACTTCCGAAGCAGCTGATGGAAGGAACAAATTGGACTTAAAGCCAAACAGTACAACAAACTTTGCAAGACGAAACAAAGCATTGGGCTCAAGCCCAATTGATGGAGGCATTCTTTTTCCTTGTACCAGGGACGGATTGGATTGGAGGGTATAGAATTAACAGGGAAGCAAGGAGGAGAAGGAATTATTTTTGGGGGAGAGGAATTCTGGGACGAGGAGGATTTGCTTTTGGAATTCTTTTGGGGAAAAGAAAAAGGCAGCAGGGCGCAGCGGACGGAGGCTTTTGGGGAAGGAAGCGAAGTTCCGGAATTAAGAGGAGGAATAATTGGGAGGCAGCGGATCGGGCGGAAGGGAAGGCAAGCAGCAGCGCTAGAGATCCTTTGGAGTGACGAGCGGTGCGAGTGTTCTCGAGTATCTTCGGTCCTTTTCTTTGATTAATATCATGATGAACATCAAGAACATGATTTTGTGTTTTATATTCGTCATGAACTAAACTCCAATTTCAGGGGGAAACACCATAGGATGTAGCTATTTCTAGATTTGATGGATTGATTCATATTTCTTTTCTTCCAATCTCTATTGCATGAAATTACTTAATGCTTTGTGTTGACTGGCCACCAATACATCGATTTGTAGTTAATTAGGTTATTAGCGACAGTGAAACCCTAATAACTGAACATATTTCATATGACATACTAACTTATCGAAGCGACAGTGGATTAAATAAGGTGCTATGTGGTTTTGATTGGGATATCAGTCTTCAGACTAAATAATTAATTCATTGAGCTACGACAGTAGGATTTGAATTATTTGTTTAGTACGTAGTACTTCCCGACAGGGATAGCTAGAACAGTAGTGATATCCTGGCTGTAGAGATATGGATTAAACCGATTAGAGTATGTGAATTAATCTTGATATGATAGGTAGTGAGTCCCGGTGTTTCTCCCAGAGCTTTCTCCAGTGAATTTCTCTCGACCATTTTAATTTGATTGTTTTGTTTAATTAATTTTCTTTTAGATAATAGTTTCATAAACCAAACCATTTTCACCTATAGTTTGCTCCATAGAATTGATAAAACATAAGGTTGTACCAGTCCCTAAGAGACAATACCTGGACTTTCCGGTTTACTACAAGATAGGATTAAGGCATATACGCTTTTGCCCTATCAACAACCTTTAATGGTTGGGTTATATCTCAAATTATGGGATAAAACGAATTAATTCTTGATTTCCAGAATTAATTTCTGGCTTTCAAAGTATCTTTGGCACAAGGGTTCAGTCTATTCCTCCGGTGGCTACTTCAGTATCCACATCCGGTTATTTGACGAGACTGCGGCCAAACACGGTGGTTGCCCCACCAACAAAGTTCCCGTCGATGGCCACTCAGGCAAAATTATTTTGCATTAATTGCTTCGATTTATTGAGCGGTTTTCTTGACCATGATCTTAGCCATCAATGGAAGTAAATTCCGAGGTAAAGAGGTGAGCGCTTATTTTGGTTCAGCGGAGCTAAAAAGTCGCCTTGTAATTATTGGCTCTTAACTTTGCGGTTCTCTAGATTAAGAAATTAATTGCTATTCAAATGATTACGCTCAAGCTTTGTATCTCACAGGGTGCCACCCTGTGATTAGTGCGGGTATTAACTCTCGCCCTCCCTTTAATAATGGTGTCGATTTCCCTCTAATTCACTCGATAGTGTCAATGATCAACCCATTATTTTTTAGAATAATTAGCCCATCAATTATTGGGCTAGTGTAGTAAAACAAATCCCGTGTCTATTTTATCGCTGAGATTTGAAACATGGAGGAATTGGGTGATTAATTAAGGGATTTAGTTACATTTCCTTCTTTATCCATTTTTCATATTAATAGGGACCAATGGATAATTATGAAATTAATTGGTACTATATTAATTGTGCTCAGATTCTTCATAGGGCAATAGGGATGGCAAAATTATCCGTAACCGTGGATATCCGCTCGAACCCGACCTAATCGGGCAGGGTAAAACCCGAACCCGAAGTACTTTTACCAGGTATGGGTAAAATCCGAACCTGAATATTGCGGGTAATGGGTGAGCATGGTTTTCTCACTATCCAACCTGAACCCGCCCGATTATGCACATGTATATGTATTTTGTCTAGAAATAGTCATTATTTTTCTCTAACATATTTTATATTTAGCATACAAATATAATATTTCATGAAATTGTGTTGTTTTAATTAGTTTTCTCCATTCAATTGATTTATTGGCGTACATTTGCTCTTATGTAATGTGAGTATATGTGTGAATGTTAACATATTGGTTGGAGGTATAAAGAGAAATGATTATCCATGGATAACCGTGGATACCCGAAACCCAAACGGGTATGGACATGGTTTTTATTTTCTACCCATTTCTTATGTGGGTATGGGTATGAGTAAAACCCGAACTACTTTGGATAGGTTAATAGATATGCACTATCCGCCCCCGACCCGAGCCGTTGTCATCCCTATATGGCAATGCCTCAAAGTCATACTTCCCACAGTAGTGGCCCTTCAAACTCGTGGAGTAAACTGCCTTAACCGATGGCCTGTCTGCTGGAGACATCGAGAAAGCATTGAACATTTATTATTCAGATGCCCCCTAGCCATCAGATTGTGGGCTTTAGTGGGATTGACCACCTTTATTGAGAACTCCCAGACTGTTAACTTTAGTTTATGGTGGCGACATGTCATGGTCTCCGAGACCTCCCCATTCCACATTCTCCAATGCGTCTGTTTACTTTGGAGAATCTGGAAGTCTAGAAATAAAGTGGCCTTTGAATTTATCCAACCTCATGTCCGTACCCTAGCCAGACAGTTCTACAACCACGTCCTCGAAATCTCCAGTCTTCTTCTCCCCCTCCTCCCCGCAGCTCTCTACTCTCGAACCTTCCTGCAACCACTTGGGTCCCTCCACCAGAAGGCTTTTTGAAGATCAACTTCGACGCAACAGTTTGTGCCTCCGGGTGTTCATCTGGGCTTATTATCCGTGGGTCAAACGGGCATGTGATGTTGGTGTTCGGGTTGCACCATCAAGGAATAGTCAACCCTTATCTGGCAGAGCTTCTAGATTTCAGGGATGCTATCTCCTTTGTAGCCTCAAGATTCTTGACCCACGTGATAGTCGAAGGTGATTCCGAAGTGGTCGTCAACCAAGTCCGTCAAGGCGTCTTAGAAGACTCGATTGGTGTCTGGTGTTCGAGAGTGTCTTCAGATCCTTAGCTCTTTGTCTGTTTGTATATAGTTTAGGGCGGTACCTAGATCCGCCAACAGTGCTGCCCATAGAGTGGCGCGTAAAGCACTGCTTTTGTCTCGTGTAGAGCTAGAATCTTTTGATTTTTTGGGGTGGCTTCTTTAGAGTCTTTTAGGGGTCCTGTGTAGAATTGTAAGCTTAACT